TGGCCTGCAGGGCTAGAAGAAAGCTGAATACTTGCACTAAGGCAAATAGTGTTTGTTAGTTATCAGTAATGCCAAAATTACTCTTGGATTTGCTGTTAGGATTTGGGATTTTAAGAGCTTAGTTCCTTGTCTGAATCTCACCTGGATTTCAGTGCTGAAGATAACTTCCAGAAGTAGATCATCTTTTATTGGTTCTGAACATGGGAACAGAAAACAATGATTAAGATTAAATTTCTGAGGTTCAATTTCACAGTTTCATTTCTTGCTGTGTTATCTATGCCTGTGGAGCAGATGAGCAAAAGACATGAATGGTTTACATGGGCTTTGGAGCTAGTAGGTTCTTCAGGTTCTCTAGCAATGCCTTTAAGGTCATTTGAAGATTCACCTCTTTGAGATGTCTTAAAAGTGCATGGCTGTGTTCTTCTGCTTGTTGCAAATCATGAGGAAAGATTTCTGAGGGAATTTTGTGGTGATGCTAGCCTTCCTGCTGCTTCAGACAGTCACTGCTGCCCGTGATGCAGCCCTAACCTTTAGGTGGTAAACTCAGAAGAAAAAAAAAAAAAGAAAATCATTTTTGAATTGCCCAAGGCTTTAGTAACAAATCTGAAAAAAACAGGGCTGGGATATTAGTGCATGAGTAAGTCCTACAGATGTCCATATTGATGCACTTCTTAGCATGGTTTTGTCCTGTATTGATTAGTCTCCCCCAGACACAGTCTGGGCACAGTTCAAGAGATTAACATGCATAGCTACCAATAAGCAGTTTGGATACAGTCATTCTCTTCGGGAAAGCGATTTAACCTTGGGGACAGGAGGTGTGCTGTACCACTTGGCCTCAGAGCCAAACAGTTGTTGGCTTGAATTATTTAGAAATACACAGCAAGCCAAATTGACTGGGGGACGAACAAGCCAATAACTAGGTCTGAACGGTCAGCCTAAGGAACAGCATAATGGGGAGGGAATTCTTGCATCAATTACAACGATGCTGCTCATCTACAAACATTTGGTTTCTGTTTTAAAAGCGCTGGTCTTTCAAAGATGTTTGAAAGCAAATTCCTGCAATTTTTTTTGTTTGTTTGTTTTTGTTTTGTTATTTCTCATAGCATATCTGCAATTGTGGGAACTCAGTAGCACAGTGTGGGTATGCTGCAGCAGATTACCATGCTGCCAATAATTTTTGAGCAGCATTACTGTACTGGGGTCAAAAATGGTTGATTACACAGGAGAAGGATTTACAAAGCAGTTGTTGGGTGTTTAGATAATGCCAGATGGAATATGAGCCTGATTGCATTTGACTTAGAAGCAATTTCCTTCCCCACCTTAAAAACAAAATCTACCTCTGAAAATGTTACAGCTACGTTCCACGGTAATATGTTTTAGTGAATTTTATAGGATCAAGAATTGTAACATACAGCTAGTACATTGTCTATCTGGAAGGAGATAACACTTGCATCTTTCACTAAGATACATCAAGATCATTGTTATATCAAATTCGTTTTCATTCCTGTTCCAAGAACCTACAACACAAGTTATGCAATTATGAAAAAAATGTTTGCAGAAATTACAAGAAAAACCCGATAAATGAAATCTGCTATCCACTGTCAGTCACACTGATGCTATTCCAATAAACACAAACATGTATTTGAACACCCAATTTAAAAAGACAGAATAAAGTAATTTATGGCCAAAATTGTGTTTCTTTCCTTGCAGCATCTAAATATGTATAATGCTGTACACACCAAAAATGTGCTAAGTGAGCATTGCTGACGTAGAGTGCTAAAAAGGCAATGCTACGGTTAGTGTCATAGTTACAGCATTTCAGTTAACAGTCTTCCTGTTCTGTAACAGGTCCCCTTTCTGTGAATGCACTGTATATACAGTCTTCATGCAATTAGGAGCATTTTTAGGGGAGAATGTTTGGTTTTAGGAAGAGGCTTTGCTTTCAAGTCAAACACAGTCAGATTTATATCTCATCTGCTATTATCTAAGTGGAGCTTTGTCTTCCAGAGGAGATCTGTCTTATAAAGTGCACATATTGGGCAGCCTTCAGTTCAGAAGTGGATGCAAAATACTTTTCCAAGTGTTGCTCTCTATTTTTTTCCTTTTTCCTTTTTATGTTCCTGCACACAACTCAAATCTTGCTTGGAAAACTAATCAATCATTTCCTTGTGGGAACTGCCTTTCCATTCTTTCACTCTTTTTCTGAGCAATTCAGAAATGTCGATGTATTAGTAGCAATTCAGAAGAGGTGATATGGTATCTCCCCTTCATAAATCAGGAGCAAGGGTCCAGAAGCGTTTGCTAATTTGGGGGCCCAATTTGATGACCTCATTTCTAGGGTCAATATATTTTGTGTGATCAAATCATATTCTCTTTCTTTTTTTATTTCAGTTGCATCAGTGAGTGCTCAGAGGCTCTGTAGTCTGGTCTTCTGGGCTTGAAGCCAAAGAGCAAAGAAATAAGGAATACTTACTTAGTGACCATCTGAGCTAAGATTTAGTGTAAAAAGCTTCCCTAACATTGCACAATAAGTGTGGAGCAGAAACTTGTGTCTGGTACTTTCTCCAAGTAAAAACAAGACAGATAATTTATTTAACAGGTAATTTATTTGAAGAGGATAGTCGGAGAAAACAGTCCAAACTTCAGCTTTGACTGCCTGTCCAGATTTTCCTTATCACATGAAGTAGTATGGGCTTTGTGTATGGTAGAGAGGTACCCATATTTTACTCAGTAGTCATCTCATGAGAATACCTGGTTCTATGTCTTCATTCAGCTTGATATCCCATTGTATACTCTTCCACTTGAAAACAACTCATCTTTGCTCGAAACTGGTCTGTACTGTCAGCTCAGTGGCTTTACTATACTGCACAGAGTGGTGTTGCTGACTGTTTAAAACTGTCACATTAGACTGCTTACAAAATAAAATGAACTTCTGCATTTTAAAAGCTTATGCAATGTGGTGAGATTCCTGGCAAGTGTAAAGGGAAAAGGTGTTAAGGAGAGCTGGCAGCTTCTTAAAGAAGATATTAAATACAAATTCTTCCAATACGCAGAAAAGTTAAGGATATGCAGTAGAAGACCACTGTAGCTAAATCATGAACATTTCACTGCCCCTAAAGGGAAAAAGGGTTTTTATAAAGTGGAAAATAGGTCCGATTTCCAGGAGCAAGGCTAAAAGAAGAGCATGTAGGGACAATAAAATCAAAAGGTATTGAGGTGTGTAATGGGTGGTAAGAACTTATTCTTTATGTACATTAGTAACAAAATAAAGACTCAGAAAAGTGTTAAGAGTGTGAAAGGAGTCAATGGGTAATGTTGGGAATGCCAACATGTACTTTTTGTGGGTTTGCATCTTTCCTGGGAAAGTACTGGGACTCCTGTTGCTGTTCACACAGGGGCTATACAACCACTGCTATCCTGGGCAGGTGCCAGATCTCAAGTGCACAAGTGAGTGTCTTTTTATAACGTGTTATCTGCACTGCGACATACACCTCTCATCCCCACCCACCAATTTTAGAATGATTTGTCTGGAGGAAATGGCTGTGCAATATGTGAAATATTGATTGAAGATGACTTGGGAAGGGTTTAGGGACAGTCCACTGTTAGAACGAAGGCATGTGTCAGGCGGATCCCAGAGGCAGGCACTTTACAAATGCTGGTCAGTACTTTTCTTAATGGTTTAGATGGTGGCAGCACTGAGCGTGATAACACTGTGTAGAAGATACTGAGCTGGGAAGGATGAAGTGTGCTGTGAAAGAAACAGCTACAACTGAAAGTGATCTTGATCAGTCAGAAGTAATCATAAAAAGAACAGTCACAGTTCAACATATACTACTTTTAGGAGTAACCAGCTTCAAAGATAAAGGGTTGAGGAATAATTCCTAGGGAGCAGTTATTCAGAAAAAAAAGTCTGACAGTTGCATTGAACCATAAGCCAGGACATGAGTCAACAGTGTCATGCTGTGGTGTGTAGCATTCTGGGGTGAATAGGGAGGAAAACAGCCTGCAGCACATGGAATGAATAACCTGTTATCTATGCCTGCTCATGATAACACAAATACTACACACTGTATAGGAACAGAGCTGGTGCTGCCTTGGTGAAAGTAAGCCAGCACTGGAACAGATTGCCCGGGGAGGTTATCAAATCTTAATTTTTGGATGTCTTCAAGAACAATTAGGAAAATCATCTCTGAAAATAATAGAAGTTTTTGGAGATTTTTTTATAAGGCCTTTTCTAGATAAAATGATGTTGTTTTCTGACAGGCTTCCTCTCTTTAAAAAATAAATAAATGTCCTCTTCTTGATGTATCACTGTTCTGTGTAAAGGGATTTCTTCACATTTAGCAAATCCATAGCAATTATCTCAGTACAGAACTTTATGGGACAATGCTTTAAGCTACTAATATGTTAGACCAAGTTCTGAAGCAGTAAAAACCCCAAACCAGAACATCTTCATTCAGAAACACTCTGAGAGAGTTCCTTACAGACAGAATAAGGACCGAAACTTGCTTTCTAATCAACATATTTTCAGAAGACTTTGAAAATGCATGTAACAGTCTGACATACCAGCTGTCACCAGGAATCGTGTCCCCCACCAACACCCGCGTGCAGTATGTTGGCACTCATGTCACACAGAGAAGGAGTGTTGACAGGTCCTCTTGCTAGTCACCTTAGAAAGGGAGAAAAGAAATCAGGGTTCAGCAAAGGAGAGCTGGCAATCACAGGAGAACATCAGAAGCGACAGAACCAGAACAGTCTGAGTAAGGAGCTGATGACTGACCTAGGGCTTTTACAAGACCAAGGAGAAATGCAGGCAACAAGAGGGAAATATTCTGTAGCTTCATCTGTGTTTACCTTGGTGTTTGGGACTGACTTGAATCCCTGTCATCCTGGGACAGCAATGCAATGCCATTCACGGCCAGTCTTAGCAAATTCTAGAGCCTCCAGTAGGCTTTGCTTGCCTTTGTGTTAAAACTGAATCATGTTTTCTTTTGACTTAGAAGCCAAACTTGATTTCCAAGCCAATGCTTGACAGCATCCTTTGTCTTCGTGATGAGAGATGGAAGTATGTCCGGAGCCTGCTGACTCCAGCCTTCAGTGATGCCAAACTGAAAGAGGTAAGGTATAGGCAGTGTTGCTTTCCTGATTTAGAAGGCGTAGTTTTCTTTTGTGTAAGCATCTACTCCGTATTAAGGATAGGTTAAAAATTCTGCCACTTTTCAATTTGCTTAGATCTTAGTAGTATATCCAGTTGAGAGTGTACAATGTGATCCATGTCATAGACTGGTGTAAGTCAGAATAGCTCATCTGAGGAGATGATCTTCTCTCTCTATATATATGATATAAAAGTGTAGCAAAGTAAAAATAAATAAATAAAATCTTACTCCAGCCTTTTTAGGAATGAGCTAGAGTACAGAAAAGGTTATTGCTCCCAACTGAAGCGTAGCTTTTCATTATTTGCAGAGTCAGCAGCTCTCACGTTAACACGGGAACTGCTGTCAGTCTATTTTCATTTCTCCATCTCCTTCCCCCCTCCTTTTATTCTTTAATCCTTTCATATAATAAAATAAGTCACTGGAACAGAATGTCATTGCCAGATAAATACCTCTGACTGAAAATAAATGTCTCCATGTTGACCTGATGCTAATTTCCTATAAACGTCTCAGCATTTACTTAGCCACAGGAACCCATTACTCAGTAACAAAGTTCTATTCCAGTGACACGATATCTCTTAATTAAATGCAGATAAATGATCGACTGGTTAAAGTCTTCTTTCAAAGGAAAAAATAACCAATAAACCGCCACTTCTTCCTTTATGGATTTTATTCTGAAAGGGAGGCATGCCTCAAACCAGTGCCCAGTTCTTGGTTGTAAAATTTTCCACTGGGCAGACGCTTGTGTTGTTTTGACATGCCGCTGTCGAAATCCACAGTAACATCTAAATGTGTCTGGCTCTTTCGGCTCTATAGACAGCGGTCGCTTAGCAACGCCGGCTGTCACCTCCTTATTATGGTAAATTCTAATTGGCCGCAAGCCTGCTGGAGATGCTGATTAATCACAACTGACAATATCATTGGTTATGCACCTCGACATTTGCTCTGTCACCGGCTCCATCGTGGAATTTTATGGACACGAGGATTTTTAAATATTCAACCGATTAGTCGCTGATGGTGTGGTGGGAGAGGAGAGTTTTTGCATTTTCTGAGCTGAAATTAATCTGCCTTACTGCAGGTCATTGGCAAAGCTCAGCTCCCGGCTTTGGCTCTCTGCTGGTGAATTGACAAAAGATAATGCCGTCTTTCCCCTGGTTTGCACAGAGCTACCTCTGCCAGCACCAGCAGAGAGAGGTGAGGGTGAGCAGGCTGAGACCCTCTGTGTCCTGCTTTGGGGCCAGGCAGATACGGGTCTGCAGGGTTTGACTCAATGAAACTGAGGTGGGAGAAGTCACACTGCTCACTTCACAACGCTTTGTGGTGGAGTTGCAGTGCTGGAGGAGGTGCTGGTAGAAGGTAAAATGGTGGGCCACTTAGCACCTTGTATCCAGCATGCACGCAAGAATTGCAATCTTTACTTTAACTTGATGGTCAGCTTTTCCTGTTCAACCTCTTCCAAACTTTGTGTACAGGGTGTAGGCTCTAAGTTACCTGGGAAAGCTATTTTTCTCCCCCTAGTCTACACAAAGTAGGAAAACAAAGAGAGAGAAGAGTAGTTTTTAAAAAGGACCAACTTAATTTCTCTGTTTCATTTATTCACAAGAAGACTGTCCCTTCCTGTCCACAGAAATACTGGCAATAAGTCTATGTTAGCTTAAAAGCCTCTTTTGTATGGATGTACGCCGCAGTTCTCTTTCAACCCAAATAGATGGATAGTCCTTGGATCTGAAGTTAATGCAACTCTTTACTCGTATGCTTCTCGTGTTGTTTAATTTAGTAGCCATACCAACACTTCTTGAAGGAAATCAATGCTCATTAATTATGATCCCACTATTTAACTCTCCCACATTCAGTACTCTGCCAAAACTTACACAGAAGCATGGAAATAGAAATACTGTGTTCCACTATTGGCCATACTAGAGAGTATTCAGGGTTATCTAGAAGGCATCCTGTTAATAACAAACTCTTCCTCTCTAACCCAATGAATTATAAATGAGTTAGTTTTGTTATGAATTTATTGCATAAGAACTTGGACTTGTTGTTTGATACTTATTTATATATCCTGCTACATAAATACCTCATATCTTCTCCTAGGACGCTGATTCCTTTGCCACAGATATCTGAACTCTGAAAAAAAAAAATCACCACAATCTCCCTGTCTGTTCACCCCAGATGTCTACCTTTCTTTTGTTCCTCTATGCAAATGCTCCGGCATCACTGGGAGACCATATAACATCAGAGTAGCTCTGGAGCGTGGTTTCCCTGTGCGCTGCAACCCCCTAGATGTGCTATGAACATACACTTTTCTGTCTGGACACTCCGAAAGAACTGGGAGCTATTAGCCTGTGACAGAGCTATAAATGTTAACAACTCTGTACTCCCCATTGCAATTCCTTCAGACATAAGATGTGCAGAGAGCCAGAGTTGGGTACAGACTCCTGATATCTCCATTTCAGAAACACATGATTCTATAATGATGCCAAAAGATAGCTTCAGTACTAGCAATAACAGAAACTGATCATCTACTCTTTGAGCTGTCCAGTATAGGACAAAACCCAGAGAGAATATATTTTGCTAGGGTTTGACCTATAGTACTCCACTGAGCTGATGTGGCTGGGGACAGAGATGTATTTTGCCCTTTTCTCTCCACAGTATTGGTGTAGTGTCACTGAAAATTTCACTAAGCATGATAAATTTCATCTCCGTTTGGCAAAAGCTTCCAAGAACTGATTGCCAAATGAAGAAAATTTGATCCCGGAAATGTGTACAGTTAGGAGCAATTAATTGAAACCAGAGGTTCTAGAGCTGTTGGGGAGCCAGTGCAATGATTGCTGCTTGAATTTAGAGATTGATTTTCCTACACTTTCCAAGTATTTTCTAGCATCTTTTGCGTTTGCTCTGTATCCTCGATTTCTTACTTAAGAAGCTGTGCTCTGCTTTGCTAGTGTTGTCCAGGAGTTCCATACTCTCTGTGTTCTCTCTTTTAAGTTTTCTTTTTCAAATGTATATGCAAAGATTAATAAAACACTCCACTTCATCGGAAGGAAGGTTTGGTTCCAAGTAACACTAAATTCAATTGCTGTAATGGTGAGCATAGTTAGATGACTTTTAGGTGTGATACTGCAGTAAGATTTGGCAGTCTCATCCCACATGAGATGCCACTGGGATTGGTAGCAGATCTGATATTAAGCGCTTCACAGTGAGACTCTTAAGTAGACTCTATGTACCATTGCTATGGGAGCACTGAGAATGAGGAAAGATAGGAAGCAAGACAACCAAGGCATTTCACTTCCAGCCTTCATTTCACAGACTGCCTTTGTGAGATCAGTAGAAGCTACTTAAATTCTCTGTACATGAAACATTTTTCATTTGTTAAATGGGAATATTACAAACCACTGAAAGTTGATCCAAGCTGTAATGCATGAGAAATTTGTGAAGTAATATAGCTTGAGGTTTTAAAGTAAAAGATGAAGTTCCCTGTGTCCCTGTCATGCTCTCCTCAGCTATTATGTACTGAAACAAGCTGATACGTTAGTGATCTTGCTGTACTGATCTTGATTCCCTATTTAGTATTTCTTATTTCTCTTTTTTACTGTGGTGCCTGTGATGATCCTGCAGTTCCGAACCCCTTGTCAGACTTGATAAATAGCTTTGCTCTCTTTTACAGCCAACACCAGCAGAAAACCTATTGATTTTTATTTATTCTGATGGTGCTGCAGTACTCTTGTCATCTCCTATCAGTATGCTGGGTATCCTCTTCTCCATTAACTAACTATTAAAACAAAACAGAACACAAAAATTAAAGAAAAGAATGCAGCGTAATGTAGCATTGTCCTAAATAACCTGTGAAGTGGAGTTTGTGTTAAGGCATTTTCCTTCAAATGAAGGGAGACACAAAGCAGAACTTGTGATAACATAACAAAGCAGTGCAAGAAAATCCTCTAGTGTCACTTGAAGGTGTGTAGATCTTTCAGATCCCACTAGGACAGTATCTGACAGCGCAGCCACAGAGGGTTCCTTGATTTTCTCTACTCTTAGACAGTAGTCAGAGGCTTTTTGGAAGGGACTCTGGAAATTGCTGTTGCTATTAAGTAAAGCAAGTGCATTCACTTTAGTTGAGGCAAATCACTGAGTTAAGAGCTGGTATGTGAAATGTACATATCCTTGGGCTGCAACTCAAGTGTATGGTTGAGTTGCTCTCCTTGATAAGTTGTGTCCATGAATAGCAGGGCCCCACTGTGAGGGGTTTACAGAATCAAATATGGGTTGGAAGGGACCTCTGGAGATCATCAAGTCCAACCCCCTCCTAAAGCGTATTCCCTGCAGTAGGTTGCACAAGCAAGCATCCAAATGGGTCTTAAATATCTCCAGAGAAGGAGACTCCCTCCCTGATGGAAATAGACCTCTGTACTTTTCCTGGTTTTAGTCAGTGATTTGAAACGTGGAACAGAAGATAGTCTTGTGCTGAGGATGTATCTTTTTTCCCTCCTCCTTCCCTTGTATTTTATCTCACTTGTAGGACAGGAGGCTTGCCATGACCTCACCATACTGTATTGAACAACGAAGTCTGCAGTATGTCTGCCTATCGTGAATAAAATCCAGGCTTCTACCTTACAGTTTTGGTGCTAATAATAAACAGAATGATAATAGTAAATAGCAAGGACCACATCAAACTAGAGGAATGTGAGGCTGATGCCTTTAAACAGTGCAAACATCCCCATGCACTCTGCATACGCAGAATCGGAAGCTAATTGTTGTTATGTGCCAAATCGCGTATTGGCAGGATTAATGCAGCAAAGCCCCTGGCATCATGAAAACCTTAACCCCAAATGCTCTCTTTTGGCAAAAGAAAGAAATTTGGACTCTGGGCTACTCTTGCTATTAGATAACTGGCAGATCAAATATTTACAGGGACCATATTGTTTAGATTTTTCTTCATCCTGTTATTCTCAGCCAATCTGAACACAGAGCAGCTGGGGTTTGTTTACCCACCAAGATCTGAATCTCAGGCAGGTTATGCAGCTTTTATATTTTGACTGGCAAATGATAACATATAGGAAGCTAGTGATACCCAAGGCAGTGCAGATCAACATCTCTGTTATTGTGCCGATTTCTGAAGTTTGGTGCAGTTCACCTCCCTCAATGCTACTTTATTTTTCTTGATGATTGAACAAAGAGTTTAAAGTATTAAGGGACTTGAGAATCTTTCAGTCTGTGGTCTTTGTAGTTAGCAATCTTGGAAGAATTCATGTCCCTCAAGAGAATAAAAAACCAAGCCCAGGATTCCTGAGTATACATCCTCTGTAGCTTTCATATGCAAAGAAAGTCTTCTTAATATGACTCTCCTATGATTCTAAGAATAAATCAAATCCATGTGTCCCTCTCCCCATTTTCCTGGTTAGGTTTGCTAGCAAGTATATCTTATGGCTAGAAATGAATTGCAACAGTATTTTGAAAGGCTAGTAGAATGTGGGAAGTTCAGACGTGCTGTGAGGTGCCCTGGCCAGGAATACATGCCCTGACCATGTCTGCCAGCTGTTGGAAAGCAATAGCAGCCAGCTGGGTGGTTTCAAGTCTGGTGATGTGCTGAAGAAAAGAGAAAATAAGGCAATAAAAGAAAAATCTGAAATGATTACCATCTGTTTAGAAAACATCGTACCTGTTAAAATATGGATTTTCATTTTGTTCTCCTTGACTGGCTCAATTCATTGGCAGGTCTGGACCCAGAGAATATAAGGCATTTCGCCCTGGTTCAGTGTGTTGAACAGAAATGTGTTAATTTTGATGAACCATTTGAGAAGAAGCTCACTGCAGGGGACCTTCTTTTGAAAGCAAAAAGGGCAGAAAACTTTATAACATGGTGCACACCTCGCAGATACATACCAGCTGCTTTTACAGAATACTAACCTGGCTTCAAAATTGTTTTGTGAGACTCCTGTTGCACAGCCCAAATCAATCCAGCTTTGAACTGAAATAGCAACAATCTGCGCTGTCCTGTATAGATATGAGACCTTGAGAGCTGCTCAATACATTCTTAACTGAGACTTCTGCCTTCGGAAAACACATTGGATGCTCCCACGTTGGCCTTTTGACTGCGTATAGTCTTGCCCATGTGTTAGGATGGCAGTGTGCCTGCACACAAAGTGTTATGCCAGTTTCACAGAGGTAGAAGTGCCAAGCAAAATGGACTTGGCTGGGCAGCCTGCAGAGCTTTTGGATTGTGCTGAGAGGCTGCAGTAAGTCTTTTTCGGTAACAAGAATGTCAGAGTAGTAGGACAAGTGTGTTCTCATGTTTGTTGACATCCGTATGTTGAAGGAGGTTGCTCAGGAAGGAAAAGATGGTTTGCTGTGCATATGTCTGCTAGTGCTTGGCATAACTGAGGCAAGGCTGGGGTACTAAATTGTAGGAGGATCTCTCAGCAGCCTGTGGAGAAAGAGTCATGGTAGGTAGTGTTGTTGGGATAATGGCTGGATTGCTGCTATTCCCTCTCTCAAAGTAGCAGTCAGCCTCCTTCCTCTGCCCCTCCTGAATGTGTAATCAAGGCAAGTGTCTGATGCCTTATATATGTAAAGAGTTAAAGAGAGACTTTAAGGAAATCTTGGTGGTTGCCTGTGTCTGGTTTCCATGAAGAGAATATTTCACTGTCAGCTATAGCAGGCTGTGGGTTAGTTCTACCTGACCATCATGTGCCAGTGACTGAAAGAACTGCTAGCCACTCAAGGCAACCCTTTTCTTGGGTGTAACAGCTGTACTTTTTCTTCATGAAACTGTAGTGATATGCATGGTCTTTTCCCGATGTGTGCCTTAAATTCCTCAGACTGAGGGATAGGGGAATGGAAATGCTGGGCCTCTGGTCGTGATATCTTTATAAGACTATGGAACCATAGAAAACGTTATTCCTGCTGATCTGGAGTGTATGTTACCTAAATACAGTGTACTGTAAATATGGATCATGGTAGATCATCAGATGGGACAGGGAATTATTTAAAAAAAAGAAGACTATCTAGGTATATAGCCATAGGTGGACAAGAATTAAAGGTCAAATATGCATCAGGGCCTCTTGAGTTCAGGCCCCAGGCTGGAGAATGGTTTTCCTATAATATGTAGGATTACTTTTAACAGGTAATCCCAGCATTTTATCTTACCTGTGCAAAAGTGCCTGACCGCACCTGTGGAAGAACCAAAGAACTTTATGCCGTCTACTGGATAAGACTAACTTAGAATAATTGATTTTTAAATTGTTTTTATTTTTCACAATTTTTAACAATATTCATAATGGAATGTGTTCCTTTCTAGATGGTACCACTAATAAACCAGGCCTGTGATGTCTTGCTGAGTAACTTGAAAGTCTATGCAGATTCTGGCAGAGCTTTTGATATCCAAAGGTACGTTCAACATACCAGAAACTAATACCAGGTTTTAAAAAAAAGTCAGTATCAGAAATTCAACAATTATTGTAAACATTCACCTACTGTATGCATAACAGAAGTTTTTTTTTTTTTCTCTTGCTTTTATAAGTGGAAATCACAGAACAAAGGATGTGTAATACAGATGCCTTTTCTTCCTTGGGGGGAGACACTGCATGCTTTAAAAGTAATTTTGGGAAAGCATCTACAGTATTTCCAGTTGTTGTTTAATGAAGTTTTACCATCTGGAAGCAGAAAGAAAAGTTGCACCAGTCCCTGTTCGACTACCGTCTACTTTCTGCCAATAATGTACAAATATAGGAATTGACCTAGTATCAAATCCTTCTGTTCCATTACTTTCATGCTTTTTTTGTATGAGATTTCTTGAGCGCTTAATCATTTTTGCCACATTCCTCCTAACCCTGTCTAATGGCATGCTAGCCTTTTGTGAAACAATGAGATTGGTACTCCAGATTAGAATGCACCACTAGTTTATAAAATGACACTTTAATATTTTCTGTACTGTACTTTCTCCTATTTGTTATGCATTTATGATTGTATTATCTTATTTTTTGTTGCTTTTTCAGCAGGGATCTTCCCTCAGTACTTTCTACCCTCTTCTCTGAGCAGCCACAGTTTTTTTAAGGCATCTGTATGATGTATGCATAGTTCAAGTACATCCTTTCTGTTAGGCACTGTTTTACCTACACATCATTTGCTAGGTTGATCACCATCTTCTGAAGTTCCTCATGACTTCCCCCAACCTGGAGTAGTGCAAATAATTTTTTTCATCTAAAGGAATGAATATTTAGCCACTATTTATCCATCCCCTGCACAGTACATGTGTATGTATGTATGCAAGTGCCTGTGTGTGTACAAAGATCTCTTTATATTATACATCTAAGGAGTTACTATGAAACTTGGAGATACATTGCGCTTACCATAGTGCTTTGATTAAAATTGAACTTTTCAGTCCTCCTGGGTTTTTCCCTTTTTTGCATTTGTCCTTTTTCTTTGCCTAGTTTTCTAGCTATTGATCCATGATGGGGTTTCACCTCTCAAGAGGCACTTTTGTAAAGTCGAAATGAGTGATGTGGGCCATCTGAAAATATGATCTTCCAGTTGTTTTATCATACTTCCATTTCAGCCAGTCTGACATATATAGATGTGATTCTCTCTGTCTTGGGAGCTATTTTTTGGTTGTAGGTACTCTATTTGCAATCTGTTGTCTTCTGTATGTTAGTTCTCTTTAGCCATTTTGTGTTTTGTCAACAACTCAAAATGTAATGTTTAAACTTTGTGAGATAAGTGATTGAATACATCTGAAACTATTTTATTGTGGAATCTCTCTTTTAATATTTCAATATTCAATAGTACATTTAGTGTGTGTGTAAGAGGTGAAAATCTAAAGTTGTTACTTAACTTCATAGCATTTTTTTCCTTCCACATTTGCCTTAGAGTCCTCAGAATAGCTGTGGTCCAAGTATTGTAGTTAGAGGTATTCTGCTTCATGGTATATACATGGAATATACTGGGCCCTAGTCCTGTCTTTTTCTAATTCGCGCTCACTTGGGTTAAGACACCAGAAGAATTTGATATTAGCATTTTGTAGTAAAGAACAGTCACAGAAAAACTATAGCAAAACACTCAATTGCAAACAGATCGGAAGAATCACATTTGCAGTTCATTATCTCAAGTTACTATATGCGCTAATGCTCATTAGAAAAAAAGCTTGATGAATGGTCAGATATGTGGGGAAGGATTCAGTAAGTTCTAAAGTGTTGATGCCAAGGTCTACACATCACTTGTAGCTCTTAAAAAGTTTGCTTCTCCTCTGAAGAATTATGGGTTTCATGTGATGTCAGTTCCTTTTGGTTTTGACTGGGATTTTGTATTAGAAGGGAGCTATCAATAACAAGAAAGAAATCCTTAATAGGAAATTGTACTTAAGGACCTTTTCACTGAATCATAGAATCACCAAGGTTAGAAAAAGCCTCCAAGATCATCTAGTCCAATTGACTACTTGGCACCAATATTTCCCTACTAAACCATGTCGCTCAGTACCACATCCATATATTTCTTGAACATCTCCAGGGACAGTGACTCCACCACCACTCTGGGCAGCCTGTTCCATCGTTTAATGGTCACTTTTGGAGAATAATTTTTTCCTAATATCCAACCCTCACCTCCCTTCTCATCTTATCACTAGTTACATGGGAGAAAAGGCTGACCCTTACCTCACCACAACCTCCCTTCGGGTAGTTTTAGCTGTTCTAGTGGTAAGGTTTCCCCTGAACCTCCTTTTTTCCAGACTAAACAATCCCAGTACCTTTGTGCTTCAGATCCCTCATCAGCTGCATTGCCCTTGTCTGGACACTCCAGACATCTTTCTTGTGGTAGTGAGGGGCCCTAGACTGAATGTAATACTTGAGATGCAGTCTCTCCTTAGCTGAGTACATGGGAATGATCACCTCCCTGCTCCTGCTAGCAATGTTATTTCTTATACAAGCCAGGATGCCACTGGCCTTCTTGGCCATTAGGGCACACTGCTGGCTCATGTTCAGCCGAGTGTCAACCAATGCCCCCAGGTCCTTTTCCTCCATGCAGTCTTCCAACCGCTCTGCCCCAAGCCTGTAGCATTCCCTGGGGTTGTTGTGGACAAAGTGAAGGACCCAACACTTGGTCTTGTTGAACTTCATTCCATTGGCCTCAACACAGTAACCCAGCTAGTCCAGAAGTCTTGTGACTAACAGTTCAGAACTGTTATGAATGTTATGAATGTTCAGAATGTTCAGAAATGTTCTAGAACTGAACTGGTATGAGATGTTTCTGCATTTTTAAGTGAGAAAGAAATTTTCTCTTTTGCAAACTACAAACACTGGTTATGAATTTCCACATTAGATTTCTAGATAATAACAAAAACACTTGATTTTTAAAAATAAATTATTAGTAAAATTATTGAGCTACAGGAAAGCATTTTGATTTAGAAGAAGTGATTGTTATTAGTAAGTACTGGCATATGTCAGAATGATGGAAACATCTGTTAAAACTCAAATCTAAAAACAAAAAGAAAATCAGAGACTAAAATCGATGTTACATGGTGTTTATGGGATCGATATATTAATGAGTATGTAACTTACAGCTAATGGTTTATTATTCTCAATGCAGGTGTTACAACTGCTTTACTTTGGATGTTGTTGGTAGTGTAGCTTTTGGTACTGAGGTGGATTCTCAGAAGAACCCTGATGACCCCTTTGTTAAGAATTGCAGAACATTCTTTGAAATGTCTTTGTTTAAGCCTCTTCTTTTTCTAATCCGTAAGTATAGTCCACCTTTGTCTAGTTCTTTATGGTTATTTTCTGAAAATCATTCATGCAAAAGAAGCTCAAGCAGGAGCAGGAAGATGTATTGCAGACTTATTTCAGATGTGTTCAGAATTCAACCCACAGCCCAAGTATATCCTTTAGATTATCATAGTATGATCTACAACTCCTGTCATGGTTAATGTAACTTCCTCCAGAAACTGAGTCACAAAAAGCAATGCTTCATCCTGATTTGAGTGGAACATTTCTGGGACCGATAGCCTGTGGGCTATACTTCTGTATTAAAACAGAGTAACTGTTACCTAATACATATTTTATAAATTATGTGTGGCCCTTGGAAGCCTGAGAACAAAGCTTTTGTGCATCCACATTACTTGGTAGAGAGGCTGAAATCCCACCCATAAACAGCAGTGGACTAATAACCAGGAGAGAGGTAGATGAGCATAAACAGATAACATGAGTCCTTTAAATTCTCATTCAAATAAATAGAAGTAGCCTAGCTGATGCTGTAAAGGATAAGGATGGTTAAGTGCCAGCATAGGTTGTCTTTAAGAGAATCAGTTTATTTTCACATGGATAGATTGGGAATGCAACAATATGGTACAGAATAATTTAGCTCCAGATCTGGAACAGTAGGGCAGTGAGAAGTGGGGCTGAAGAAGCTGCAACGTATTTAATATTGATAAGGTTATTACAGTATTGCTATCTAGACCTGTTCACAGTAGTGTCAGGTACTGCGGTGGCAAAGCTTCCTGTGCCCATCTGATCCTACTGGCATTACAGATTGCACCTGTACTAGCAGCACATGAACTGTTTCCTTCTGGAACTGTGCATCCAAAATGTCCTGAGGTTAATGTTTAACCTGGTTGCAAAGTGGGATTTGTGACTAATTTCTGAAGGGACAGAGATTTGTTTCTAGTTTCTAATACTGGGTCCTCCATTAAAACAAAACAAAACAAAACAAACAAACAAACAAAAAAGACTTAATTTGAAAACTGTGTTATGCTTTTGGCAGCAGGGGGTTTCTGATGACTTTTTTTTTCCTCTCAGTTTTAAACTGTTCATGAGTTAATTACAGGTCTGTTTTAGTACAGGACTGCACTCTGGTGTCTAGCACCTGACTCTAAAGGTGATGGACTGGAGACCATCCTTGTAGTAACTTTCTATCTTAAGAATCTTTGATCCACTTTGAAAAGCAAAGGAGTGCAGAGTGCAGTAAACCAATGCCCAAGCATTGAAAAGCTGTAAATGGGAATGACTACCACACAGTTGCATGCATCAGTGCCAGAATCTCCTAGGCTAAGTCAAGATCCCCCACCTCCTGTGTGTAATTATTTGCATAGGCAAGGAAAATTATTCCTCCCTTTGTTGTATTGGCTCTGTGGCATCAGGAAGCTGAACTGAAATCTGGAAGCATTATGGAAGACTTGCAAGTCAGGGCAAGCTTGGTGGGCATCTGTTCAAGCAGAGAAGTCACAGCCAAAATGGAAATTGTAAAAGGAAGTGCTGTGCTGACATACAGGAGTGGAAGGGAGAGAAAGTAGAAAAAAACAGCTTTCACAAAAATAACGCATCCCAGTTGATGAGATTTGTAATATTAATGAAAGGAGGGGGGTACTACATGCTTTTACACTCTACTTCAGTGTTTTCTTTCGTAAAAATCTCTTACAGTTTCTTTCCCATTCATAATGATCCCATTGCTTCGGATTCTGCCAAACAAGAAACAAAAGGAACTGAATGGATTTTTTATTCAAACTATAAAAAATGCAATTGTCTTCAGAGACCAGCAAGATGCAGCTGAGGTAAGGCCATTTTTATGACAAATTTATGGATAAACAAATGCTTTGAGCAAAAACTGGAAGTGGCACGAGCCTCAGCTGAAAAAGGGAACTCAGTCTGTTTGAACATTCAAAGCAATTTAGTGAGGATTTTCTTCATTTTTAGCTTCATGTACCATCATCCAGGCTTAGTGCTGATGCAGAACTGTTAAGACATTACAGAAAAGGCTGCTTCTCTCAGTATTTCTGTTCAAATAAAGATGCAGTGAATGTTGGATCTGGGATGACTTTCCAACCCAGTTTCTGGATCCAGGAAGGAAGGAGATTCGTCATGTAGATTTTTTTCTCATCTTAGTCGGGAGTCATTAGGCTTTGCTTAATAAAATGAGAAAGGGAAGAGGCCCTACAGAATGATTCAATCCTGTCATTATCTAGCAGGTGACAAGGGTTTTACATATTCCTCTGGCAGTTTTTACTGCTTCTGAAACTGGGAAAAGAGAACCCACATGTCTGTTTAAGAGCAGACATTTTGTATTGCTATGGCTAAAGAGAAAACTAGTACATTCTACTTAGTATGTAAAACAATTGATGTGTATTAGTAACAAATCAGCCGTTACCCATCTCTTTCATTTAGACATAAGGCAGTTCTGATTTTTGTTGTGTTAATCACTGTTGTGAAGTATCTGAAGGCACAGACATTTTAATAAAGTTCTCTCTATTTATGATGTATGAAATATTTTGAACCTAGTGTGTGCTTCAATTTTGGAATATGAAAGTTGTTGAGATCTTCTTTTCCTTTTTGGCCATTCTTTGCTGCAGAGTGCATGTAATTTGCCTAAAAAAAACAAGTTAACCACTTAATTATGGATGTGTAATGAGAAACAAAGAATATAAAATAGAATTCCATAGTAAACGAAACAGAGACAAGCGTTGCGTATCAGTTGACTGGAAATATGCCATAGCATACCTATCAAGAAGCTTCTAATACTGAAATAAAGGAGATGTTTCTTTCCACTTTGAAATGAACAGCAATTCTGATGAGAATAACAGCACAGGTAAGGATGGATCGGATCATCCCAACTTCTCACAGCTTAGCCCCACAGCTGTCACCTTGCAGGAGAGCATAGATTTTAATTTACGCAATGTTGTATCTAGGGCACATTTAAAAATCAAATTGTACTTCAAAAATATTACTGCTTTGTACTGTGTTGCGTGTTCTGCTCTTTTTCTTTGACACTCTTTGTAGTGAATTCTCATGTGTTTCTTGTGCTTGATCATCCCATGCTTCCTATCTTTCGTCCAGCTCATCTCTCTAAGTCCTTTCCCCCTGTTAGCCTTTACGTCTTTTCCACCCTTCTTTCCATCCAAAAGTTTGTGTGCGCTGCTGAGTAGTCATAAATATTTCATGATTCAGAAACATGGGTGATGTGTGTAAGCTTGTTGCAGACACTTCATTTCTAGTGCATAGATCCAGTGGGAGCTTTTAATAGCCCATTTATGGAACTGTACGTATGGAGAGTTTTGAGTCAGATTTAGTTAATGTATTAACTGTGTGTGTATTAGTGTTGTGTATTAGTAGAATGTATTTCTGTGTCAGTAACACTGAAAACATCAGTCAGGGACTAAATTCTTTTTTATATTAGAGATGGTCATTCTCAAACTGCAGACTGCCCAGATAAAGGACAACAGGTGATTGTGTTTAGGACAGAAAGAAAAGAAAAATGAGTTTCTAGAGACACGCAGGAGTCATTCTCTCTGTATGCAATTTGTTTGCAGCTTTCAGTGGTTTAAGTGGTTTGCAGAGGGGTTTAAGATTGTGTTGGAAGGGATACTGGGAGGTGCAAAGCTCTCAGCCATAGGATTTGAATTTTGTGTGTTGCTGTGTGGAGCCAGGAGTTGGACTTGATAATCCTTGTGGGTCTCTTCCAGCTCAGGATAACATAAGACAGTAGTAGTCCAGTATCAGGACAGCATGGAAAGTACAAGGTCCATGTTTACCTTAACAGTATATGCAAAAGTCCATGACTGGCAGTGATCCCACCTGCTCCTGGACTTCTACCTAATTTGCAAAGTTGTCATATGGGAACAGTTTCAAGTGCTAAGAGTTAGTCAGACTCTTAGGGCCAGCTTTCTGAGAGCATATTTAAATCCCCTGTGCAGTTCAAGAATCATTAATGCGGCTTTCAAAAGTGACTGAAAAGTTTGAAGCTTCCTTTATTTCCTATCTTCACCAACTGCCTTATTATCCACTCTTGGATTTGAAGTCGGTGGAGCACAAGTTTTGTTACAAGGAAAGACAATAATTTGCCAAAGACTTAAAAACGAAATGTGAAGTGGATCAAAATACAACTGCTGTCCAATTCAGTGTAGGAATGTAATCTAAAGAGATTAGGTGTCCCAGGTAGCCCTGTGGTTGAAGAATAATTATGACCTGTGCCCTAGGTATAGCATGATGAAAGATAGCCACTGAAATCAATAGCAGTTTTGGCATTGAATTTTAATGATCCCATGATACAACCAGTAGCTACTGGTTTCTTATGCTAATAATGAGAGCTGTAAGCAAAATCTTACGGTCTCCTTGTGCTGCATTAGATCAGTGGAAATTCCTTAGATTGCCATATTCCTAGATGTTACACTGTGCCCATCTTTTACTTCTCATTGATTTTATCACCATTAAAAATGTTTTTGTTTTTATCTCCTGGGGGAGAAAAAAAAAACATTTGAAACATACTGTAAAACAGTAAAACAATGAAAAAGCTCCTTGAAAGTGATTCAACTGAAGCTTGTCTTCCTCTCATCTGCTGTGAACATGAACAAAGAATAAAAAAAGGCCAAAAAATGATGTGACAGGCAGTCAGCTTGTTATCATCCATGTTCCATCAGTAAATGAAACAATACTTCTAAATGCCTAAAGATAATCCTACAGGCAGATAGTAATTTTACAGCCAGGTTTAGATCTAATAATATGCTTGCAGCTCATATGAGATCTGTGATGTCACTTTTTCTCATTCCATCAGTTAGTGCTGCAGATGTCATTTTAATTATATATTGTATTTCTGTGGTCAGTCAAATAATTTCAGTCCTGGATAGTCCACTCATTTGGATTATGTACAAAAACATTTAGTCATCGTACTTCAGAAATTTTAATGTATTACATTTATTCATTGATTCAAATTATTGTATAAAGCTTTTTGCACTGTTTATAGGAGAGCGAATTCACCCTGCTCAGAAGAAGCTGCACAAATTTAATGCACCACTTAACATCTACTTTAAAGACTCCAGTAGGATTTAAGGGTTCAAATATCTTACTCTGATTGTCTGCCCAGGTTTAAATCTTTCCCTTAGGCAAAATGCTTCCAGAAACAGGGTGGGTAGAACGTTTGTTTATTTTGATAAGTGATAGTTTGATAGATGTTCATTTAATAATCTGATAGGCAAATCATTGTTCATGTTTGGTTTTTTTTCTTCTGTTAAGTTGTTGCTTGGTTCTTGACATGCTAGTCTGTTATAAATGATCTTATCTACATGAAGTCTTTCATGGTGCTCGAAATTACAACCCCTAACACTGTGGGATGAAAGTGACCTTCCTCAACAGAAGAAAGGCCAGAATTTCATTTTTATCCCATAGGAATAACGTTGGGAATGTAACAATTTAATGATATTGCAAAGTGTTGATTTTTGAGGATCACAACAGATATGCAGGAAAATTCAGTTTTCGAAGTATGTACACTGTTGTAAAGGAGAACTGGAGAATTCAAGGAGGTTTGCATAATCACAGAATGGCCAGGGCTGGAAGGGACCTCAAGGATCATGAATTTCCAACCCCCCCACCACATGCAGGGCCACCCACCTACCTCCACGTTCAGCATTAGACCAGGCTGCCCAGGGCCCCATCCAACCTGGCCTTGAACATCTCCAGGGACAGGGTATCCATAACCTCTCTGGGCAGCCTGTTCCAGCACCTCACCACTCTCACAGTAAAGAACTTCCCCCTGACATCCAACCTAAATCTCCCCTCCCTCAACTCAAAACCATTTCCCCTTGTCCTGCTGTTATCTACCCTTTCAAATAATCGATTCCCTTCCTGTTTGTAGGCTCCCTTTGGGTATTGAAAGGCTGCAATGAGGTCATCCCACAGCCTTCTTTTCTCTAGGTTGCAACACATTCTTCCAGTGTCTCTTAATTTTTCCAGTCATAGTGTCTGCTGTGAATGCATAATACAAGGTCAGTGATCCATGCTAGGAAGATAGTGACCTTATGATGTTTCTGATGCTGATCAGCTGTTTCTTAGTGGTCTCAAGCTGTTTTGAAATGAGAGGGAGACGAGGCACAGAGAAGTATCACCACAACTGTATTCACTGACATCTCAGTTGGCAGTTCAATCAATCTAGCTGGATATCTATGGGCTGCCTGAATGCTTTTGCTGTATGTCTGGAGCAGACAAACGATGGTTGGACATTAGTAAATACTTCTTCTCCGAGAATGGTCAGCTGCTGACCAGACTGCCCAGGGAGGTGGTGGAGTCACTTTCCCTGGAGGTGTTCAAGGAACAAGCAGATGTTGTACTGAGGGACATGGTTAGTGGGAACTATTGCTGGTGGGTGGACAGTTGGACTGGATGATCTTAGAGGTCTTTTGCAACCTTGGTGATTCTACCATTCTGTGATGGGAGAAGTTCTGCTCTTGTGCCATGTGGTGTTAAGCCACAGAGAAGCCCTGGTGCTTTCAGCCATGTAGATGACTTGACCTCCCAAGGGTTGGTATGGCACTGGAATGCTGTTTATTGTGCTAGGTCTGAAACAAAAGAGGTTGTCCTCTGGTCAGCAACTGCCAGTGAAAACAATTACAACATCCTTCTCCATTTTTTTTTCACTTCTTGTTCTTATTCCTGACTGATACTATGCCCAGTCCTTGGTAGATACAAGTCCACATGCCTGGGCAGGTACAAGTGGTTCCTGCTGGGTAGAACTTGGTTATTGCAGCGTCACCCATGAAGGCCTAAAAAGGGCTGATATGTCAGGAAA